TATTCTATAACTCTATAATACCAGAGATAATAAGATTCTTCACGTTCAACAGTAACTTAGAATTACAAACTCACCTTTAGTATAATCTATAACTCTATAATAACAGAGATAATAAGATTCTTCACGTTCAACAGTAACTTATTATTACAAACTCACCTTTAGTATATTCTGTAAATCTATAATAACAGAGATAATAAGATTCTTCACGTTCAACAGTAACTTATTATTACAAACTCACCTTTAGTATATTCTATAACTCTATAATAACAGAGATAATAAGCTTCTTCACGTTCAACAGTAACTTAGATTTACAAACTCACCTTTAGTATATTCTATAACTCTATAATAACAGAGATAATAAGATTCTTCACGTTCAACAGTAACTTATTATTACAAACTCACCTTTAGTATATTCTATAACTGTATAATAACAGAGATAATAAGATTCTTCACGTTCAACAGTAACTTATTATTACAAACTCAACTTTAGTATATTCTATAACTCTATAATAACAGAGATATTAAGATTCTTCACGTTCAACAGTAACTTAGAATTACAAACTCACCTTTAGTATATTCTATAACTCTATAATAACAGAGATAATAAGATTCTTCACGTTCAACAGTAACTTAGAATTACAAACTCACCTTTAGTATATTCTATAATTCTCTATAATAACAGAGATTAATAAGATTCTTCACGTTCAACAGTAACTTAGAATTACAAACTCACCTTAGTATATTCTATAACTGTATAATAACAGAGATAATAAATTTTCACGTTCAACAGTACTTATTATTACAAACTCACCTTTAGTATATTCTATAACTGTATATAACAGAGATAATAAGATTCTTCACGTTCAACAGTAACTTATTATTACAAACTCACCTTTAGTATATCTATCTGTATAATAACAGAGATAATAAGATTCTTCACGTTCAACAGTAACTTATTATTACAAACTCACCTTTAGTATATTCTATAGCTCTATAATAATAGAGATAATAAGATTCTTCACGTTCAACAGTAACTTATTATTACAAACTAACCTTTAGTATATTCTGTAAATCTATAATAACAGAGATAATAAGATTCTTCACGTTCAACAGTAACTTATTATTACAAACTCACCTTTAGTATATTCTATAACTCTATAATAACAGAGATATTAAGATTCTTCACGTTCAACAGTAACTTAGAATTACAAACTCACCTTTAGTATATTCTATAACTCTATAATAACAGAGATAATAAGATTCTTCACGTTCAACAGTAACTTAGTATTACAAACTCACCTTTAGTATATTCTATAATTCTATAATAACAGAGATAATAAGATTCTTCACGTTCAACAGTAACTTATTATTAGAAACTCACCTTTAGTATATTCTATAACTCTATAATAACAGAGATAATAAGATTCTTCACGTTCAACAGTAACTTATTATTACAAACTCACCTTTAGTATATTCTATAACTCTATAATAACAGAGATAATAAGATTCTTCACGTTCAACAGTAACTTAGATTTACAAACTCACTTTTAGTATATCCTATAACTCTATAATAACAGAGATAATAAGATTCTTCACGTTCAACAGTAACTTATTATTACAAACTCACCTTTAGTATATTCTATAACTGTATAATAACAGAGATAATAAGATTCTTCACGTTCAACAGTAACTTAGAATTACAAACTCAACTTTAGTATATTCTATAACTCTATAATAACAGAGATAATAAGATTCTTCACGTTCAACAGTAACTTATTTTTACAAACTCACCTTTAGTATATTCTATAACTGTATAATAACAGAGATAATAAGATTCTTCACGTTCAACAGTAACTTAGAATTACAAACTCACCTTTAGTATATTCTATAACTCTATAATAACAGAGATAATAAGTTCTTCACGTTCAACAGAACTTAGATTTACAAACTCACCTTTAGTATATTCTATAACTCTATAATAACAGAGATAATAAGATTCTCACGTTCAACAGTAACTTATTATTACAACTCACCTTTAGTATATTCTATAACTGTATAATAACAGAGATAATAAGATTCTTCACGTTCAACAGTAACTTATTATTCAAACTCAACTTTAGTATATTATATAAACTCTATAATAACAGAGATATTAAGATTCTTCACGTTCACAGTAACTTAGAATTACAAACTCACCTTTAGTATATTCTATAACTCTATAATAACAGAGATAATAAGATTCTTCACGTTCACAGTAACTTAGAATACAAACTCACCTTTAGTATATTCTATAATTCTAATAATACAGAGATAATAAGATTCTTCACGTTCAACAGTAACTTATTATTACAAACTCACCTTTAGTATATTCTATAACTGTATAATAACAGAGATAATAAGATTCTTCACGTTCAACAGTAACTTAGAATTACAAAACTCACCTTTAGTATATCTATAACTCTATAATACAGAGATAATAAGATTCTTCACGTTCAACAGTAACTTATTAATTACAAAACTCACCTTTAGTATATTCTATAACTGTATATAACAGAGATAATAAGATCTTCACGTTCACAGTAACTTATTATTACAATATCACCTTTAGTATATTCTAACTCTATAATAACAGAGATTTAAGATTCTTCACGTTCAAATAACTTAGAATTACAAACTCACCTTTAGTATATTCTATAACTCTAGAATAACAGAGATAATAAGATTCTTCACGTTCAACAGTAACTTAGAATTACAAACTCACCTTTAGTATATTCTATAACTCTATTATAACAGAGATAATAAGATTCTTCACGTTCAACAGTAACTTATTTTTACAAACTCACCTTTAGTATATTCTATAACTGTATAATAACAGAGATAATAAGATTCTTCACGTTCAACAGTAACTTAGAATTACAAACTCACCTTTAGTATATTCTATAACTCTATAATAACAGAGATAATAAGATTCTTCACGTTCAACAGTAACTTATTATTATAAACTCACCTTTAGTATATTCTATAACTCTAATAACAGAGATATTAAGATTCTTCACGTTCAACAGTAACCTTAGAATACAAACTCACCTTTAGTATTTCTATAACTCTATAATAACAGAGATAATAAGATTCTTCACGTTCAACAGTAACTTAGAATTACAAACTCACCTTTAGTATATTCTATAATTCTATAATAACAGAGATAATAAGATTCTTCACGTTCAACAGTAACTTTATTAGAAACTCACCTTTAGTATATTCTATAACTGTATAATAACAGAGATAATAAGATTCTTCACGTTCAACAGTAACTTATTATTACAAACTCACCTTTAGTATATTCTATAACTCTATAATAACAGAGATAATAAGATTCTTCACGTTGAACAGTAACTTATTATTACAAACTCACCTTTAGTATATTCTATAACTCAATAATAACAGAGATAATAAGATTCTTCACGTTCAGCAGTAACTTAGAATTACAGACTCTACAAACTCACCTTTAGTATATTTTGTAACTCTATAATAACAGAGATAATAAGATTCTTCACGTTCAACAGTAACTTAGAATTACAATCTCTACAAACTCACCTTTAGTCTATTCTATAACTCTATAATATAAGAGATAATATTATAAGGTATTTCTCCCACCTTCTTAGCATGCCTTCGTAGTGTAGTTGTCTGCACGCTAGGTGCGTATTCCAGAGGTCCGTGGTTCGATTCCCTGCGAGGGCGTTGCTTATTTTCATCTTTTCTGCTTTAAAAAAATCCTAATGTCTCTACAATACAAATCTGTAATAACATAAATTACAAATATGACTTTATGATATGACAATATGAAAATATTAAATATAAATATTGTCCTATTAAATATGACAATATGACTGATAATACAAATTTTTTTTTTTTTTTCCAAAATAGAAAATGAAATAGATTTTAAAACGTTTGGAAAATATTGCTCGTGAACAAATTTATAAATTTCAGGCCTGTTACTTTAAATTATATGAGCGATGAAAAATATGTAACAATGCATAGTTGTAAGAAAGAACATACAGGGGTTGGACAAAAATATGGAAACACCTTTAAAAAAACATGTTTCTTTGCTTAATACGGTGTAGGAAACCCGTTGGCATCCAAAACAGCTTGCAGTCTTCTCGGAATGGATAAATACAGTTCCTGTATGTTTGCCAAGGGAATAGGCGTTCTCCAGACGTAAACTCGGCCAGAAGTGGGAAACAATGTGAAAGAAGACTCGTCAGACCATATTACTCGCTTCCACTGCTCTATAGTTCAGGCTTTATGACTTAAACACCACCTTTTCCTGTTGCGGGCATTAGCATCACTGATGAGTGGCTTCTCAATTGAAGCACGGCCAGCAATTCCCTGTTTATGAAGCTCCCTTCTAATTGTTTTGGTACTCACAGGGCTCGGTAACACAACATTCATTTCAGCAGTAACTTTTGCAGCTGTGGTCTTCTTATTTTTCGTCACAATTACCCTTAATGATCGTCTGTCACGATCACTCGGGACACACTTTCGTCCGCGCTGTGATTTAGCAGATGATGTTTTTCCGCTTTTCAAATATGCGGAATAAATCTTCGATACAGTACCTCTTGAACACTAAACACCTCGGCTACCTTGCTTACGGAAGCACCTAACCATACGTGCTCCAACAATTTGCCCACGTTCGAAGTCTTTTAACTCTGACATAATGCAATGACAACCTCACATAACAGTACTCCGACAACAACTGAACTGTTTAGCACATTTACGAAGTTGTATAGGTGGCGTCAGTAGTCAAAAACGCCAGCGCCACCTACATATTTCATTAAAATCAATCTTTCTTTTCAAACATGCATTTCACAAGGTGTTTCCATATTTTTGTCCATCCACTGTATTTTATGAAATTATTTTGAAGTAAAATTAAAACATTAGCTATTCTATTTCATTCTTCTTTTCTGTATGTTGTACTCAACTTTACCCCTCTTTTGTTTCAGAAACATTTCTTTCTGCTTTTGACCATGTTTATGACTACGACAGCAAGTTACGAAGAAAAATTATCCTCTACAAATACTCGCTTTCTGGAGCCTGCTGGCGTCAGGCACGAAGACTCTCGTGTACAAAGTCAAAGCCCACATTTCAGAAATACGCAACATCGCAATGATAACAACAAACAAATTTTAACTTCTTTCAGGGGACATTCCGATCAAGAGTCGCTTGATAGACCCCCTGGGCTTAAACATTTCGCTTCTGCTGAAGAAGACAGAAAAATTCATCCCAGATTTCACCAAGGATCTCAAACAAGAACGTTCCAGCAACAGCAGCCTAGACACGAGTTGCCAGAAACGCTAAATTATGAACGGTCAGTTGATGCAGACGATAATAACGGAAGGAATTACCAAAATGTAAATCCGAGTTTTAATACCCAGAGCCGCACCAAATATCAACATAGCTCTTTAGATGATGTGCCAAGAAAATACGAAAGAGTTGCTAATCATCAACACGATGGCAGAATCCCGATACATAAAGAGGAAGTGCCTTATTTTGTAGAAGAAAAAGGTACAAATAAGCCAATAAAGTATGCTTCAGATGGAACGCTAGAAAATAGCAAAAGACATGAGGAAAACAAAAATATTCAGGGTCGGATACCAGCAGCCGAATTGCAATATAAATCCCCTGTGAATGATCCATACCCATCCAGAAATTACAGGCAGTTTCATTCAGAAAGTGAGTCAAGTCTTCAGCCTGAAGATTCTGGAGAGTTCTCCCAACATTCAAGACATCCTTCGTTCATGATTAGGCAGCCTATAAGAGGCGAAATTTCTGATGCTCGTGTAGCAAAGTCTGATTCTATTCGAGAGGATGCAATTGGAGGATTTCCGGGAAAACAATACATCACTGACGTAATTCATCGCCAATCAAATCTTTCAGCGCGGAACTCGGCTTTGGATGAAAATGTCCGAAGGCCTTTTTCTGAAAATAGTTACAGAAGCGAAGTTAAAACCCGTGAAACAACAGCTGAAACTGAAATTGATATGCAACCCGCACCGTCTGAAAATGATGCAGAATTCAGTCAAGAAGAACATGATGGTTTCCTGGACATGGGAGCATATACAGACAAAAGAGGTTCATTCGGTTGGTATGCTGATTTTCCCGTGGGGAAAGGCCACGATAAACTAACCTATTCCTTTTCATAATGTGGGCATGAATTTTTATAAACAGGCAAAGAGCTAAATTTTACCATGTATTAATTCGTTCTTAAACCGTTATGGAAATTTCACATTTTATTGTATTGAAATGCCAATTTTGTGTTGACATTGCAATAAGCCTGTTTCCAGAAATTAAAAGAATATCACGAATTAATAATAAATAAATAAAAAAAAAAAGCTGCATCAAAATATTGATGAAATTTGGTGGTATCTTTAAATGAATTAGTTTAAGAGCTGCTTAAAATGGTTTACCAAGGAAAACCTTTTCGCCAAAAAATTATCTTATAGAATAACGCCTTCCAAAAAGGAAGTATCAGAATGCAGGAGACGAAGTACCTTGACATACACTGGAACCCTCATTTAGGAAGTTTATGTCTTTACAGAGATACTCCATGCTCCTTAATACAGTCACTCATCTCAATAAAGTTAACAACTACAGCTTAAAGAAAATGCAAACTTTGCTGCAGTTCATAGAACTATACAGAGACAATAACTTGGCATCTAGTATTCCATTCATATTAAATCAGATTTTACAGAGGATGTTTAGAACACATTATTGTAACGATTTTGATTTTCTCCGTGAATTTAAATATTAATTTTAAAATACAAACGTGTCTGGTCTGGAAAATAAAGTTTTATTATCGTCTGCAGCATTAAAAATATTCTTTTCTTCAAAATTTCGCCGAAAAATAAACAATAGATCGAAGGCTAAATTTTTGCGCTGCCCGAAGAGAAATACTAACTCGATTATTAAAAAAGGACTGGAAAAGTATGGTTTTAATATTTCTACACGTAAAAATAAGCGACATAACTAATATGAAAGGAAAGAAACGTCAGAGTTTACATCTGATTGAGAAAAAGTCAAAAAATGCATACCCAACAAAGGTACGTATTATTAAATCTAAAGTCGCATCTCATGTTTTAAAGGAAAATCCAGCTATCAAAGAGCTTTGCAAAATCTTTAAATATCTCTGTAAAAACAAAATTATAAAATCTGATTTAAAGCTAATCGAAACGAAAAAACATGATGTTTATCGCCTAACTTCGAAATATGTTTCTCGGCATAAGACTATGTGCAGATTGCTGCACGAAAATTATTTGGCAGTTGAAAAATGGAAATAGTTAGTTATACTTGATGAAGCTTCGATATATTTATCTGACTGAAATAGAAAAAGATCCATTTACTACCGAAAAAGATTTAATATGTTGGTTTGAGAAACAGGAAAGATTTTCTAACGGTTTCATGGTTATTAGTGTATTCTCTTACAACGGAAAACTTAAAATAAGAAAGGTAGAAAAAATATCAAAATTAATTTCGGTTACTATCAGAAATATGTTTTAACGCCTATTTTTAAAAAAGAAATTCCATCTCTTTTATCCAAACATTCTTCGCTGTGTTAAGTTCCGTCAGGATAACGTCCTGATCCATACCTCTAAATCTACTGCTCTATCTTATGGAAAAAAAAAAGAAATATAACCGGAATTATAGCTATTCCCTTTAAATGCATCCCACCCTAGTCTCTTGATGTGTCTCCTATAGATTACTGTGCATTTGAACTTTTAAAACAAGCTCTTTATAAGCAGCATCCCAAAACATTGGATGGACTTTGGAAGATTATTAAGGAGGGATGAAATAAAACCAACCTTGATGTATTAAGAAAAGGATGGAAACCAAGATGTAATATGATAGTTCAACAAAAAGAGCTATCAGACTGAACACAGAGAATACAATACTAAGGTTTGTTTATATATAAACCTTTTCAAAATTGTTACAAAAATGTACGATCACCCTCTACAGATAGAAAGATAAAGCTGTCCAATCAATTTATGAATAATCTTATGTCAAAGGAACTGCTTCACTAGTGGAGTTGTGTGGAAGAACTTTATTGTGCTTATATTTAACTTGTCAGCTCTTGCGTCTGCGTAAAGCCGTACATAGGTACAAAACTATCATCTGTTTAGCTTGTTGTTAAGCTGCCTATTAAGTCTCATAGCTGTCTGTTCATGTGCCTACAAATATGTGATTTCAAATGTATTTTATATCTATGCAGTTTTTTCATGCTTGTTAATTTTATAATGATCCCGTACTTGTGCTCAATAAACAATAATGGTAATTACTGTACATGGAATACTTGCATTAATCTGTGAAGGATATAAATATTTATTGGTATTCTATTCATTTTACATGCGGGAATGTACACCTTGCAAACAAAGGGGGAAAAAAAGGTAATGTTCTATAACTTCCATTCTACTGGACGATTGTTGAAATTTAGCTTGCATTTTCCGAGTCTTGAAAGTGCGACTTAGGATATATATTAGATTTAGATATAGCATTGTTATTGTTATTTTGTTACGTATAGCATTGTTATTGTTATTTTGTTACATATAGCATTGTTATATTAGATTTACATATAGCATTGTTATATTAGATTTACATATAGCATTGTTCTGACATAGGTATTTTCACACAAAATCGGACTTTTTCTGAAATAACATATCATTTTTTTCCTTATATTTCTATTCTACGACTCAAATCAGGCCAAAGTGCAAAGTTTTGTTAAAATCGCACGAGTAGGTTTTTAAAAAATTGGCTTTCAAGATTTTAGCTCCTCCTATGAATTTGGTATATATTTATTGATATCTCTTTTTTTATTAAATTTATTCGATTCTTCCTTTCACATTTCGAAATTTACGTTCATTCCAAATGAATTCAACCCATTTTTTATCATTTATTTTTAAAATTTATATTTTAAAATAATTTTTATAAATTTTTCGAAAAAAATATTTGAATTATAACCTATGAAATTTTACCATCATCTTAAAGTAGATGTGTTTCTAAGCCATACCTGCAAAAATTAGTTTTTTATTCAAAACTTCCTAAGATATACGTGAATTTACACTCATGTCCATAAATTAAGGATAATGCAAAATCAGGCAAAGGAAGAGTTAGAAGAAAAACAAATTTAACTTATTTGTAAAGCTTATTTACTAAACAAAAGGTAAAGAGCAAAAAAAGATGCTATATGTTTGATATTATTAAAAAAATTAGCAATTTTTTCTCTCTGCAGCAAATTACAAAAAAAAAAAAAAAAAAAAAAAAAAAAAAAAAAAAAATTACAAAAAACCAATAGTACATGGTTTGTATGATTGTTAATACATTGTATGTCTCCCAGACGATGCAATACAGTCCGTACAACGCTTAGGCATGCTGAGTATCAAATTATAGATCTGATCTTGGGGGATATTACACCACTCAAAAAGCAATGCTCTCCGAAGTTCCGGTAGACATGTAGGAGGAGGTTGAGGGGCTGCAACTCGTCGGCCAAGCATGTCCCACACGTACTCTACTGGATTCAAGTCCGGTGAGAATGCTGGCCAATCCATACGGGAGATATCCTCCGAGTGAAGGCATTCGCTTACGATGTTTGCACGGTGAGGACGGGCGTTGTCATCCATAAACGCACATTGTTCGCCCATGGCGCCCCGAAACAAACGCACATGTTGTTCCAGAATGACGTCCCGATAGATTTGGCTTGTCACGGTTCCAATTTGAACATGCAGGTCTATTCTGGAAACCAGAATAATTCCACCCCAAACGAGCACTCCTGCACCACCGTAACGGTGTCGTTCAATGATGTTTTCTTGGTGGTAACGGGTACCTGGAGCTCTCCATATGAAAGTCCGGTGCGAATCAGACTGTAAGCTAAACCTGGACTCGTCGGAAAACATCACACCGCCCACAGTTGCGGTGTCCACAATGCATGCTCTCTACTCCAGGCTAACCGAAGGCGACAGTGAGTTGCAGTAAGTGGAACGCATCTGACAGGTCTACGAGCATATAGACCTATCTAAGCTTCTGTACACGGTCTGTCTTGAAATTGTCGTACCAGTGGCTGAAGAGAGCCGACGAGACAGGTCTGAGGCTGTGCTCCGCCTGTTTCTTTTGGAAGTAACTCCCAAATGCCGGTCCTCATTCGGCGTTGTAACTCTGGGGCGACCTGTGCTGTAACGTCTACTCACATTACCATCATCTTGGAATCGTTGCCAAAGCCTGGAGATGACACTCTGGACAACACCAAGTTCGTCTGATACTTCCAGTTGGGTACGCCCACATTGCAGACTGCCGATAATTCTACCACGTAAAAAATCATCCAAATGCGTCCTTTGTGTCATAACTATTCGGTTATTGCACTGAAATGCTTATAAAGCGCCTGCGAACAATTTTACTTCTTTGCCTGTATTCCTTACATATCACTCTCTTACATTCTCGTCATTGTGACGTACCATCGGTGTCATCTGGTTACTTCCTAAAATTTGCATATGATTCTTGATGATGTGTGTAGTGATTTTACAGGTGATATATTTATTTTAGAGTTCGATTTCCGCGTGACTCCGAATTATCCTTAATTTATGGACACGAGTGTATATATTGGTGCGTTCTGAAATTTGGCATATTCGTTAAAAGCGATAATAACGCCAAATGTGGTTTACGCATTTTGTTATAATTATTTGAAAGTATGAAAGATGACATTTTTTTCCGCTAGTGTACATTGAAACAAATAATATGAAAAATAAATAAATAAATAAATAAATAAAGTCAATTCCTAGTTAGGTCAACACAAAAACATTTAAAAAAAATTGCAAATTTTTAATATGTGAAAAAACTGTATTAACATCAAGTGTCATCTACTACAAGTTTAAAAATGTATTTGAACTTGAGTGGATGAATAAAATATATCTTAATAACAATTGAAAATTTGAACAAGATATAGGGAGAGTGCGAGCTAATAGTAGGAATTTAAAAAAGAAAGGAAAACAGGTTGCTATAAATTAACAAGTTCACCGAGTTCTTGGCGCAAACTGAAGAAAAAATGCGCCAAGATAAATTTTTAAATTTCTCACCAAAAATTACAAAATTAAAAGTCTAGGCATAATTTGAGTCGAAGAATCGAAATATGAAAAAAAATGGCTATGTTGTTTCAGAAAAAATCCGATTTTGCGTCAGAATACCTATGTTCGAACTGTGCTATATATAAATCTAATATGTATCATAAGTCTTGCTTCCGAGACATGAAAAACGCAAGTTAAATTTCGACGGTCAGTCCAGGAGAACGGGAAATATAGAAATGTCCCTTTTTTGTGTGCGAAGTGTACAGTTCAAAAATGTGTTAAAAAAAAATTGCAAATTATTGCCTATAGGAGAAACTATTTTTTAGAAATTCCCTTCTATGTGGTGGAAGCCATACAACTTTCACAATGGCTTCTGTAAGAAATGAATCTTATATAGCCTTTAAAAATTACAAGTACATTAATCACTTCATACGAATGTCATCTTATCAATACAAATTATTAGAAATGTATTTTAAGAAACAAAACGTACATAAAATGTATCGTACAGCTTCAGTGGATTTTATTATAAAGAAATTTATCAACTCACTTTCATGTTTGAGACATATGGTATAATCTGTTCAAATTAATAATTAATTATATATCCATTTGACTTATAATAAATAAATTTTATTTCCCATGACAGCAATGATTCTTGTACATATCTGATGACTATGTGGTGATATATCGCTAAGAGGGATCCGTTTGTTTAAGAAATTGCTTATTTTATTCAACGAACAGGTTTGTAAACAATTTCTAACAAGATTAAGATGCATATTTTTTATACCCGGCGACTGTCTTCGAAAAAATCTTTCATCGAGTCAGGTACACACCCTGAACAATAATCTTATTGAAAAATCCAATCACTGCAGCAAATAATAATTTAAATGAACTTAGATGTCAGGGTAAAATAAGAATTACATATTTACTTTCTTTACAAATTCTCTCAGTACATTTTAACAAATGGCGATGATTTTCTTTTATATAATAAAATAATGATGTAAGCATCAGCAGCATTGATGATGCAGCAATGTGTATGGCAAACTTAGCGTGTTTTTTCATGTGTATTTTTAGTCCAAATGTATGTTCATGTGTATTTTTAGCCTCGAAGGGCTATTCATTTCGTTTTGGCATTTTGCGTCGAAAACGTTAAAAGTTTGAATCACTTTCCAAATTGTTGCCACCAAATATTATCGCCCTGTATTATATTTAAAGAAATTAACAGTGAAGAATCTGCATGAATGTATGTATGTTTCTCGCATTGTGATAAAACAACGTTACCTAGAGCCATCAAATTTTAAATATTGAACGTTTCCAGCCGAATATGGGCATCTGGAAGCCCAAATTTGAAATTTGGAATTTGTTTTATTATCGATTTCATATTTTGTAAAACTGAAAAACATTTTTATCTCCAGCGCGCGAGAAATTCTAAAGATATGCTCATTTTAAAATTATTTTGCGATATTGCTGTTGAACTGGATCTTAGGGTTTAAGTGCGAGGAACTGATATTTAATAAATAAAGGTAACAAATAAAATGTTTATTAAACACCCCACTGGGCGTAATATAAAATCTGAAAGCT